CTAAAACAAGCAAAAGGAGATCAAAAGAAGTGTCCTTTAGAGGCAGTCCTGGCCCCTTGCAGAGTGACCTACGGCGCAGTGTTGGGCAAGACAGTTGCTCCCTGCGTGCCTTCATGCAATGTGGATGGAGATGATTTATCATGAGGGTTTCATCCATGGAGATTTGCAAAATATTGAGCCAAACTGAACAAGCCAAAGCCACCAAGCTGCTCTCACCATCAGATTCCTATTAAAAATACCTCTGGGCAGTCTGAAAGCCACAAGCAACCACGGTGACCCCAGGTATGGTCATGGCTGTAGAGTTTCAATGGCTTTAAAAACCTCCCCTTTTCTGTGCAGACTTTAATTTTGCCTGTCCCCAAAGGTTACACATTCCTGCAAGAACCTGGAGGAGCTTCCAGACGAGTCACGCTTGGTTCGAAATTTTAGCTATGCAAAGATTTAAGAAAAAAAAGTACAAAGGCTTTTCTTTGACTGGAATGAGTCTCGCATGGAAGTTGAGCAGTATTGTGCTGAGGGCCATCAGCTATGCAGCATTGCCAACCACAGGCATTCAAAAATCATGAGTCAGACTCCCCAAAATCCTAAGACTGGTTTCATTCCCTTTTTGGATTTCGAGCCTTGAAGCATCACAGCTTCAAGCTTTTCTCTTCAGAAAATGACATTTTTTAACCAACGGGGTGAGAGCTGAGACCCTCAACGTCGTTACTGGGCTCCAAGAGTTATGACTGTAAAAAAAAAACCCATTAAACACCACGAAATGAGCAATAAACCCCTGCACTGCCTCTGTGAATTTGGTGGTGGGGTGGCCACCCCAGGACACTCCAAAGGTGCAAGCAATGGAAAACTGGTGACAAGAAACGAGATGTCCTTATTATTAATGGTGATGTGTTATCATAGGCCATGACAGGGTAGAGAGGAAAGGGGAGAGGGAAAAAAAACCCTAAGGAAAACAGCAGCAGGGATACCTACAAGGAACATACATAATAGGTTTATTCAACAGGGAGACGGGAAGGGGGATTTTTTTTTAAGGGTAAGTATTCAGCTAAAGCTGCCTAAAATGGGGCCAGGCCTTATGGAGAATGGATATTTTAAGTGGCAATTTATTCCACTAATAAAATAACAAGGATGCAGGTGCTCTGGCAGGGCTGGGACCAGGACTGGGTGAGGGCTCTGGTTGATCAGAGCCGGGGCTGCAGCACCAGCCGTGCAAGGGCTCCGCCACAGCTGGTGGCTCTGCCTTTATGGGACTTCTTTCCCTGGTGCCAGGGCCTGTGTCTGGACTCCAGCTGTCCAGAAAGTGCTACCCACAGCAGCGTCCCACCCAGAGCCCTGAGCAGAGGCTGTGGTGGGTGGTGAGAGGTGTTTTATCCAGGTGCTGCAGCCGTCCCTTCCCCAGCTGGAAGGGCTCGCTGCCTATGGGCTCCTCCACACTTGCACCAGGTGCTTTCATGCCAGGAAGTTTCTTAAATCAAATTCCCAAGGCAGAGCAGCAAGGAGACAAGAAATCCTTGCGAGCTGGATGGTGCCAGGCTGGTCAGATTGCCCAGAGCTCCTTGGGGCTCACTGTGCTGCCAGGGCTTTGGCACATCCATTTGCTGAAACTAGACCATCATCCAGCTTTTCTACATCATCCCTAAGCCCAGACTGCACAAGTAGAAGTGTTGTGGAGATGGAAAGTTAGACTTTGAAGTAGTGGAAGAGGTAAATAACACTTTGCAGTAGGCACTGAGCTGGCACAGCTATCAGTGTGTACCTGCTTACTCTGGTCCTGTGTGTCAGCCCTGCAAACTGCAACCCCATATAGAAGTTGCAACTTCACTCTCCATTTTAGAGTCATTATCACCATTATTCCAAACCTGGCAGTGACTGGTGACAAGCAACAGAGCAGGTTTCAATTCTGATACAGTCTACACCACACATAGATGAAAAATCATCCTATACTTATCCCAAGGAGAGTATACTCTCAATCCTCTCAGCTGGCACACACCCCTCGTCCTCTGTTCCAACATACACTGCTTTAAAACCATCACCCTCATATTAAAAATAAAACAAAACTCTCTGTGTCTCTCTCCTTCACTGCAATGTCTGAGTTGAAAGGGTAGAAGTGCTTTCAGAAAGCCATGGTTAATGTTACCCTGGAAGGATCCAGGACAGCATACCAGAACCTGGGTTTGGCATCTGGGAACCAGTTTTCAGCCATATATATCACCGTTCCTGCGTGCACGCCGGTCCACACAAAATTAGCCCTGTGGAATGTAGATTTAAAATTCCCTTTCCAGCAGTACTTAAACTCAGGAGCTAAAATTCGCTCTTTCTCCATTTCCTACCTGTTTAGGAAAGAAGGAACAAAGTCCTGGCCCTTTGTTTTTGGGTTCCTTCCCGGGAAGGTTTGCACAACCCGCGCTCAGCACTGCGGTGTTTGCAGCCCGAACAAAGACCTTTTAAGCAGCAGCAGCTCCCGCCAGGAGCTCACCACCTGCCTGCCCCTCTCCTTGCCATTTATTTTGGGGTCTCTTTTTCAATAATAGCTCGAACACGTGTGCAACCTGGTGTGAATTTTTTCCCCCATGCCTACAGCGCTGGCTGCAAACCAACCGCCAGCCCTGGGTGTGCAGCTGGGAGAGAAAAAAAAAGAATAAAAACCCAACAACCTGTGGAATGTTTTCTTGCTCCTGAGAGCTCCAACACTTCCCTGCCTGGGGAGCGTTTGCCATGGCTAGCACTTGCTGCATCCAGCAGCCAACGGGGTTTCCTTTCCAGTGGGCGCCAGCTGGATTTTGGGCAAAGCATGAGGGTGAGGGGGATGTATTTAACAACTGACTGATGGTACTTTTCACCTGATGGGATTTGCCTTGTGCACTACCACCACCTTTGCACGTCCTTGCATGTGGTGGCTTGTTGCACAACTGCCAGGTTTGTGCAACCTGTTAACCCCAACCCTGCTCAAAACCCTCCTGGGGACAAGCTCTGCTGTATCCCACACAATGCCCCTGAGCACCTCCCTTGGTCTGAGCAGGTCATGCAAGAATAACATGGAATAACTGGTACAGAGTCACATGTCGAGTCAGAATCACATAATATTCTGAGTTGGAAGGGACCCATAAGGATCCTGAGGATATGGCCCAGAAAAGGAGCAGGGTACTTCAGGGCGTGCTGGAGCTCAGCTCAGCTTTCAGCTCAGGGCTGGACACCTGGGGAGCAGCAGGGTATTTATGTGCTGGCTTGGAGGGATTAATTTTCACAGTAAATAGGGACACCAGAGTTTTTTCAATATTTATTGGTCAAGATTCAGTTTTGCAGAGTTTTGTGGTAAGTTTATAGCTTGCCCAGGCAGGAGGGCGGCTGGAGATGTGGTGTGGGCAGCACCCCGCAGAGGGATGCTGCCTGCAGCCAGCCAGGGAATGTGGATGGTTCCTGCAATATCAGCTAAAAACGGGAGCCCTACCCAGCTCATCTGAGCTGTGCCCCCAGGAAGGCTCTCAGCACTCTCAAGTCAGTGCTTTAACACTGTGCCATTCTCTCTGCACACACACAGCCCCTCGCTCCCCCTCCCGGAACCCTTTCCAACTTAGTGGAGTGCTTTAAGGAGCACTTTTTTTCTCCGTGCATGCCTGCCTTTCCTCCAGACCCCCTCCCTGGGGACAGACAAGCCCGTCCTATCAGCCTCAGAAATGGTGGCTCATATCACAGCTCACAGCCTCCTCCCCAAACCCGCAGCCACAAAGGCGGTTGCTCAAGCGTAGCATTCCTGCTCCCTGTGTCCCGGGAACAGCTGTGCCGAAAAGATGCCGAGAATCCCTGCGAGGCTCCAAGGAAAAGATATTAACACAGGAGGGGAGCAGCAGTGATATAATAAAAAGTCATAATAAAAGAGAGAACCACTGAGTGGATTAGCAGCCCAAACGCCGCTTGGCTTTTGGTTTCCTTTCCTCCAGCTTTTCTGCGCCGCACGACAATCTGCTCAAATTCCTCCATCCCGGAGACACTCGGCTCCTGAATTTCAGACAGAACTCCTGGAGGTGTCCAGGCTGCAAAGGCTGAGGGCATGGCTGAGAAACTTAACTGCACTTAACTCCACTGAGGGCACACAGGCACAGGCAGCAGGCATTGGACACGGTGTCACACCAGCTCCCCAGTGCCAGGGCTCTGCTGCAGCAGGGCCACCCACTCCACATGTACCCTCTTGGGGAAATAAGAGGCAGATTTGGAGCTTGGTGTGTATTTCTCAGGTACAAAAATGTAATAGGATACATAGTACTGTTTTAAATGTGCCTGCCACATGCCAGTTCTTCTCTACTTCATGCAAGTGTAGAGCAGAGGTTCATAGAATATCCTGAGTAGGAAGGAACTCACAGGGATCACTGAGTCCAACTTTTAGCCCTGCACAGGATCCATCAACAATCTCACCCTGTCCCTGAGAGCGTTGGCCAAACACTCCTTGAGCTCTGTCAGCCTTGGGGTCATGCCCACTGCCCTGGGGAGCCTGTTCAGTGCCCCACCACCCTCTGGAGGAAGAACCTTTTCCTAATATCCAACTTAAACCTCCCCTGACACAGCTCCAGCCATTCCTCTGGGTCCTGTTGCTGGTCACCAGAGAGATCAGTGCCTGCTCCTCCGCTTCCATTTGTGATGAAAGAGGGTGGTTTTTCCCTGTGGGGCTGTTCCAACAGCACTGACCCAGGCTCAGCACAGGATGCAGAGGTGAGGTGTCCCCATAGGAGCAGGCAAACCCGCAGTCCTCACCCACCATGCGCCCAGGTCCAACACCCAGCACGAGGTGTGCAAGGACAACATTCCCCTTGGCTCCTTTAGAAACAACCAGGACGATTTTGGGGACACAGAGCATCTGCTGCCGGGAGCCGCCGGCTGCGCCAGGAATTTGGGATGAGACAGGAGTGAAGGGGGTGGCTGTGGTGGTGGCAGCTGTTCCCTGCCCACAGCCCTCCCGGCCACGCAGGGCATTTAAATTTTAAAGCACACTCGACACGGCTGTTTTCTCCACCATCCCTGTCCAGCTCACAGAGACCCTGTCCCGGGAGGCTCCGTCCCACAAAGGCACCCATGGGTTCACTGGTGGCCAAGCTCCTTCTGCCCACCCTCAGCACCTTGGTCTTCCTCCCCACCATCAGCATCGCGGCCAAGCGGCGCTTCCACATGGAAGCCATGGTTTACTTCTTCACCATGTTCTTCGTGGCGGTAAGATGTCCCTATATACGCTCCCCTCTCACCCCCCTGGCATGTTTTATCCCCCCCCCAAATACCCCCTGCATCAGGACCCCACTGGGAAGGGTGGTTGATCTCACCCAACACCAGTGAGTGCAACCCCCAGAATATCCATTTTCGGTTATTTCCCACCACGTGTGGTGCTGATCATCTGATTCTTTAGTTTAGGGTGTCCTACGGGGTGGCCTTACACAGATTTAGTGGTGTTTTATGGTTGTGAAGTGAGGGACAGGGTCTGGGTGCAAAGAGCCTTGACTGATTTGCAATGCTTTGGAGCAGGCTTTTCTCTTTGTTTTACAGCTGGTAAGTGGCCATGCTGAATTTGGGCTTTAAATTGCATCCAGAATCTCTTGCTATGCTTCTGTCATTTTAGCCAAAAGCACATAGTAGTTGAATTATTGATTTTGCAACTGCCAGCTGGGGATGGGAGCAATGCTGGAGTCAGGGGAGTTTCTGCACTGGGAAAGGAGAGACTAAAACATGCTGCTGAGCTAGCAAGAAAAATAATTATTAACCCTTCACCTGGGTTGAGTGTTTTGAAACCTGTGTTTCACCAGGCTCTGAGCTGCCTGGCCTTGCTTTGTGTGAAAATAATGAGTGGAGAAAGTCAGTTGTCTGTACATATACAAAATATTCCTATTCCTGCTCCCAGCAGTGCACTGCCCTGTGCTTTGCATTCCTGCTAAGTGACTCCATATAAACACCAGTGGAGCACCCAAAGCAGTATTCCCACTAGGAAAAATCTCCTATTTAACTCCATGGCAATGCTCTGCTATAGAATATGAAGAAAATAGCTCAGCAACCCAACTGATATTGCATTTACCTCTAACTCCCTTCCATCTCAGGGCATCTCATGAGGGTTGGCACATCCCTTGCACGAAGCAGCTGAGGCAGGCAGTAGGTAAAGGATATTCCTGGTGTGAAAAGCTCTTTCACAGCAGCAGGGCTCTGAACAAGGTTGGCCTCTTATTCCTAAGGATCCACCATCTGAGCCTCCAATTAAAGCACGGTGCAGGGGGAGAAATTCTGCCAGTTCTATAAAAACTACAGGACCAGTTAAAATAAAAACATCCCCGAGCCCCCTTCCCCCCACACCAGCTCCCCAGGGAAGCCAGACATCTACAGTTTCATTTTGCACGGGGCTTGTGTCTGCTCCACCTCCCCGAGAAGTCAATAGGAAAATTGGCACGTGTTTCAACAGGAGGTGGAACAGGTCCTCACCGAAGAGATGGAAGAGGCAAAATATCTGTGCACGGGGAAGGGAAGGAAGGGAAAGAAGGGGAGGCAGCTGCCAGTGTCGGGAGGGGGGTAGGAAGGGCAGCAGCTGCTGCTGTTGCCTTTCTTGTAGCATCCCACTCCTCCTCCCCCAGGAGACCTCGACAGAGCAGTGAAAGCATATGTCCATCGCAGACAAGTGCCGCGACGCCGGCCAGAAACACGCTCTTTGTCTTCCACCCTTTCTTCCCCCTGTCTCCAGACTCCCTGAGCCCAATCTCAAACAGAGAAAAGAATTACTGCTGTGGTGCAATCTTTTCTAGAAGCTGCAGCGAGCCAAAGGACTCGCAGCAGTTCCCATTATAAATAATATCAGCATCCCCACTGGGCCATGACAGCGAGGATCGTTCCAAGGGCGTCCTGCCAAGCAGAGAAGGGACTTCTTCAGAAACAGCAGAGCACGCTGGTGCTGCCACTAGAAAACTTGCAGGGCTGAGAGCTGGGAGGGAGGAAAAGGCAAGCACCAGGCAAACACTGGGAGCATTCCTCTGATTGCACTGGAAAATTTCTCTTGGCTCAGGTTTGCGTTTGTGTTGCATGACAATGGGGTTTTTTTGCAAATAACCTAATCAATGAGCTAATGGGCAGGAACCAGAAGCTTTTAAGGGAATGCACTAATGAGTGAATTCCCCAGCATTCAGACTCTGGCTGTATAAACCCTGTTTAGCCTGGACAGTGACCTGGCATCCATACACATTTCATCAGGACACTCATTCTGAATTGTTTTACAAGAATCTTTCGCAATTAGAACCATAACCCCAGAGTCCTCCTGCTGGAGAGGACGTCCCCCAGTGCCTGGGGCTCGGCTCAAAGCAGCTTGGTCATCAGATTGCAAATTCTGGCACAGACCAAGAGGCAAATTAAAGCCTGTCTTAGTTTGTACTAAGAGAGAAGAATGCTGATTCTTGGGTAATCTGCAATTGGGAACGGTGACATTATCTCCCAAATATATTCATTACTGCATATCAGTGACCCTGGTGCATTTGACACTGTTCTGTCCTGGCTGGCCATCCTCCCAACAGCCACAGTATTTCAAACCAGTTAATAAGAGCCTTTACTCATGCTGGTCTGTTGGGTAAGGGACCAGTTTTCTAATCCTTTTTTTCTTTCTTTTTTTTTTTTTAATAGTTTTACCACGTATGTGATGGCCCCGGCTTATCAGTGCTGTGCTTCATGCGCTACGACATCCTGGAGTACTTCAGCATCTATGGGACAGCCCTGTCCATCTGGGTGTCCCTGATGGGTAAGCACTGGGCTGTCGTGGCTCCTGCAGAGCACCAGTACTGGCAGGAAGGGCAGGGTTTGTCAGGACTGCTGGTGGGACAATTAGTGGGTACTATCCTCAGGAAAGCTGCTGCCTTTGAGCTTCCATCTGCAGGACTTAGCCCTGAGATTGTCCTTTAGGGAAGCCAGCCTGTGCTATGGATTAATCTGGTTTTAGATCATTAATACCTTGGAAAGTCACTGCATTCAGTGGGGTCCAGACACACACAAAACTGTCCTGAGTGGTGGCTGGGGGAGTTTTGCACTTATAAACAGAGCTGTGGCACCTGGTGTTTGTGTTAGTTGGGTGTTCCTCTGTCTGCACCAGCTCTTGTGCACGTCCTTACAACAGCAGAATTATTTACTTCAAATTACAGTAACAGTTTGGCAGCCTTGTACTTCAGTTCAAGGCAGGACAAGACTATGTGATGACTTAGTTTGAAACCTCGGAATTTCCCATTTTCTCTCATTTTCCCCAAAATGGGCCCACCAGCTTGTCTTGTCTGACTTGGGGGCACGAAGAAATGCAGAATCTGCCACTTCCCTTGGTAGCATGAGAATCAAAGGGTCAAAACAAATATATCTTCCTAATTTATCAAAGCCTAGTCTGGGCTGACGGGAAATATTAGATCTGCTTAGAAAAAGCAGAAATTTGTTTCACTTCCTTTTTATTAGAAATCCCACTCCTTGCCCTGTTACTCAGTTTTCCTTTTCTCACACTCATTTCACTTTCTTTTTCCTTATTTTGTTACTCATTTGCCACTGAAACAAAGCATAATAGAAATGGGGGGAAAAAAAGTGACAGAACTAAAGAAGGACAAAACCCCAGACCTACTATTTACACACTTTGTCACAAAGATTTTTGGAAGGATGTGAGTATTGCTGGCAGAAGAACAGGGCAGGGGAAGGGGAGAGAGATGTGTCCAACAGCAAATGCTTTGCTCAACAATTTGGACCATCTCTAGCCAGTCCCCACTCCAGACTGACATGCAGACTTGCTGAGCTGGGGTTAGCACTCTGATGTACAACCCCAAAATGCCCACAGGACTTTCCCCTCTGCCCCTCAGGACTCCAGGGATGGTGCAGGATCTCCTGCTGGGATGGGAATTCCTACAGCCCCTGAACCCACCACAAGCAGAGCCCACCCTTTGCCACAGGCAGCAGCATTCCCCTTCCAGTGCATGTGACAGGACAAACCTTCCACGCAGGGAAAAATGACTGGGGAAAACATTAACCTCAGGAATGGCTCTGTCCCCCCAAAATGTGAGTCCCAAGGTGGGTTCCCACACTGCTCATGGCACCTCAGTGCTCTCTCTGATCAGCTAGAAAAGGCAACGAGGCAAATCACCTCCAAAGGGCATTTCCAGTGGATAACAGCAGTGTCAGGGTAGGTCAGAACTGATCCAGACACTTTGGCTCCTTGCAGCAAAATTCAACTTGATTGCTTCATTACTGCATTCAAAAACCCTGCAAAAAAGATACAAATCCTGGACTGCAACGTTTAAAATATTGACCCGCTGGGAAACAACAGAGATTAAAATGCGGACATTATCCCTTAGCCAAACTCCCTATAAAACCACGATCCAAGGACATGGAAGGTGTGGTGACTGAAGCCCAGGGAAGCCTCTCACTGTGGCTTGTAAAGCCCGAGCGCACATGTGCGGACGCAGACCCTCGGGCAAGCTTCCCGGAATGCAAATCCAGGACAGCCATAACACAGCTGTGCAAGCTGGAAAAGCATGGAGCCCACTGGGATCCATAACTTTTATCAGTTATTACCCCATTCTGTGCTAAACAAAAGCCTCTAATAATTTACTCACGCTGGCGACTTCCAGCTTGCGAACCTCAGGCAGGTGCCGGCGTGGTTGGGCAGCCTGGACCCCATCACACGGTCCCACTAGAGTGGTGGGATGGAGGCTGTGCTGGGGTGACCCAGCAAGCTTGGGAGGGTGGGAGATGTAGGATGAACTCAAGACCTGATTGCAGGATCGCTGGGTGCAAGTGTCTTACAATCCACCTCTGATGTAGAGGCAGGAAAGGGAAATCATGGAATCACAGAATGGTTTGGGTTGGAAGGGACCTTAAAACTCATCTCGTTCCAACTGCCCTTCCATGGGCAGGGACACCTTCCACTAAACCAGGTTTCTCCAAGCCCTGTCCAACCTGGCCTTGAACACTTCCAGGGATGCAACATCCACAACTTCTCTGGGTGGGAAGTCTCCTTTAAGCTTCCATATGCAGCACTAAAATAAAACCCAAAAATCAGCTACTAAACCCACCACTCAGCTGCCTCAGGATGGTTCACTCTGCCCTCTGTGCCTCAGTTTCCCCAGCTGTGTGGCACGAGAAGGGCAAACCAGACAGACACAGAGCTGAGGGTCCCCAGGGCGGGTGGGGCAGATCCCAGTAAGGCTTTAGGGAGCAGCTGGAAAAGGGGGGGGTGGTGCGAGCTGATGCTCCCTGTGCTCGGTGCCCTCAGCCCTGGCAGAGTTCGACGAGCCAAAGCGATCGACCTTCATCATGTTCGGCGTCCTCACCATCGCCGTGAGGATCTACCACGACCGCTGGGGCTACGGCGTCTACTCGGGGCCCATCGGGACAGCAGTGCTGGTGATCACTGTGAAATGGGTACGTGGGGCAGGGCAGGGAGGGGGCTGAGCCCTGCATGGATGGCCAGCAGCTTCCTCCTCCAGATCCAGCTCTCGCAGCACAGGCCACGGAGGTGATTAAGCAGCAGTTCTCCTTCCAGAGAGAGGCAGACAGCGAGCAGCCCGTGTGATAAATGCCAGATTCAATCGGTCTGAGCAATCCACCACATCTCCCGTCCCTGCGTTTCTAATCAGCAGGAACGTATTTATGGAGTTTTTACAGCTACTCAGAGGCAGAGGGGTCTGGTAAACTGCCCTGGAGCCAGGGGAAGATGTGGATAAAACACGGTGATAAAGTGGGAAGGAATCTGCCTGCAGTCTGCCTGAATCCAGCTGGGACAGTCAGGCATGAGGTGGGGAAGCAGGAGTGGGCAAGGAGAGATGGGATAAAAACTGCAGGAAAATGCTGCCAAGCATCATAGAAATACTGTGATGCAAGTCCCAGCTATAAATGGTTGCTAAGCCCATCTAACTGCCCAGCCAGCAGCTAAAAAAGCCACCACCATGGGGAGGGGGTGGGCAAGGAGGAAACCAAGGCATGGGACCACCGTGCATCCCCCAGCCCTCAGATGCTCTGCTGGGATTTGCTCTCCCAGAGACTGGGTTTGTGAGGGTGCACACTCCCTGAGCTGGGTTTGGGGCTGAATATTAAAAAAAACAGCTTTATTATGAGGAATGAGGCGGGAGGGCTCATTGCAGCACACGGGCAGATCTCATAGCCTGGGGGAGCTGGTCAGTGGGCTTTGAGTGGTTTTATCTCAGCATCCATAGGGTCTTTGGGATGTGGAGCAGCCAGTCAAATCCAGGTAAATACACTTGGTGTGCTCTCTCCTTCCTTCCAGCTACAGAAGATGAAAGAGAAGAAAGGGCTCTATCCAGACAAGAGTGTCTACACCCAACAGATCGGTCCTGGCTTCTGTTTCGGGGCATTAGCGCTGATGCTGAGGTTCTTCTTTGAGGTACCTGTTTGCACACTCACTCTCCCTGGCTTTACAAGGTGTAAGGGACATTACCAAGATAGGAGACTTCCCCCTTTGCACTGCTGGACTTCATCAGCCTTGGACAGAACCCAGCTCGGGTGTGGGGCTCCAGGGCTGGCATGCAGTGACGAGGGTCCCTCCATGCCTGTCCCCACCCCACCCCCTGGTCCCTTAGGGACAGGTGCAACAGCAAGTGTCATGCAGGGTGATGCTCACTCTATTTTTTCCCCCTTAAGTGAACCACAAGGACATAGGACACGTTTTCTCCAGACATCCGTGGTCCTCAAAATGGCTTTGTCAAGTGCAAGTGAGATTTTTTGGAAACTGGGCATGGGTGACTTAAGGACACCTCGCAGAGGGACTGGATACAACCCAGGCATGGCCGGATCCACAGCTGGCTCAGGCCAAAGAAAAGACTCTCAGTTGACTCCCAGGGGCACTCGATGCTGTGTTTATATCCTTTTGGTCCCGCCGCCGGCCAGCCTGTCCGTCCTGTCCGTCTGTCCCGCGCGGGGCAGGCGATAACCCCCCGACACAGCTGCCTGCGCTCGGCCCCCGCCGTTACGGCTGCTCTGTGCTTTGGGAGCTGCGAGATACAACCCCGCGGCCGTCCCCCAGGATTATTTTTCAAAGCATTTTAGTAATTGCAAATTCTAGCAGAACATAAAAATGTCACTTAGCAGAGGCCGCCTCCCCGCGCCGCCCGGCCCCGCCGCCGCGTCCTTCGCGGGGTAATGAAACACTTCATTCAAGAATTGGGAAATGTGCAAATTAGAACGTGTTAAATCCACTTTGCCTTTTTTGCTTTTTTTTTTTTTTTTTTTTTAAACTGGAAATCCTTCCTTCCCTGATGGTGAAGAGAGGCAGAAGGTTCAGGAATATTTCTTTTTATTCCTTTCCTTTCGGCTACTTGTAGAACTTTAGTGTCGTGCACCTACATGAGCTCCCCCCGCCCCCGCAAGTGCCGCTGTTCCCACATCTTGCTAACGCTCTTCCCGCTTGCAGGAGTGGGATTACACCTACGTGCACAGTTTCTACCACTGTGCCTTGGCCATGGCCTTCGTGCTGCTGCTGCCCAAGGAGAACAAGAAGGCTGGGAGCGCCGGGACCCCCGCCAGGCTCGACTGCTCCACGCTCTGCTGCTGTGTCTGAGCCCCCCGGGCAAGCCAGGCACTCGTGTTTCTACTCCTGGGGCAATGGAGTTGTTCAGCCAAAAGGAAAATACCTGCCTGCTGCATCTTCCTCTGGCACACTGGTGTCTTTTCCCACCAGCTCTGTGCCCACCCTGGGATTTTCTTCCCTGAGAAACCTGGCCTAGTGGAAAGCGTCCCTGCCTGTGGCAGGAGGGTTGAAGTGAGATGGACTTTTAAGGTCCCTTCCAACTAAAACCATTCTGTGATTCACCTTTCCACTATCAGCCCTAGCAGAGGTTGCACTTCCAGTTTGGTACATATCCATACTTCTCCCTGGAGGAGCACTCATCTGGGCTGCACCTGTGACCTGTCCCCTGTCCCAGGAGACCCCTGCACTCCTGGGCTATGTCACCTCCTGGGCTGTCCCTTGCACTGACCTGGGAGGACCCAAGTTGTCCCCCCTGTGCAGGTTTTCCCAGCCTGAGCACACAAAGCTTCATTTGCAACACCCAATTAACAGAACCTGTATTTTTGTGAGATATTGACTATTCTATTTATGCATTCTCTTGATGTAAATAATATATACTAACACAGACTTTGCAAGTGTGCAATGCCAGCGTTTCTTAAGCAGGGCAGGAAGCTTTCCAGCTCCACTCAGCTCAGCCCAGGGCAGATGCCAATTCCAAAGCAGGGCTCTGGGCACAGCCACCACAGCCTCCCCCCAGCCTGGAGGGACCTGCAACATTGGGCACTTTGTCCTTACAGACCTGCAGGCACAGGCAGCAGGTGCCTCATTGGTATGGAAAGTACATGGAAAATTAGAGGCAGAGAAAAGAAGCTCCTGGAGGGATGGGGAGAGCTGTAAGCCTATAACATCTCCTCTAACAGACTATTTACTATAGCAGAAGTGTATGATTTATTTAGACTGTCTGGGAAAAATGCCAAGACTATATGTCATGGACAATTAGAGCAGTATTGATATACAGTGATGTCCACAGAAAGCCCACATTAAGCCTGGGTTCCTCTGGAAGAGAAATCCACCCCAGTCATTCATCAGAGCAACTTCCTGCGACGGGGCAACAACCAAAACTGAATGGGCTTCCAACAAAAATACAAATGAATTATGAACCCCCAAGCATCCAAGAGTCACTGGCAAGTGGTGGCACAGCTGATGCAGCTGCACACAGAGGCAGTGCTAGCAGTGCTAGCAAAGGCTTTCAAAGGGTTCCCCAGCACCTAAACCAACATAGCACACCACTCCTTTCCAGCATCCAGCCCCCAGCACATTTACAAGATGCTCTAAGGGTTTGCATGCAAGGCTTTCCCCATTGCTTTCACACTATTGGAGTACTTTGACATGTGAGGACTGCTCAGGGTGTGCCCCAAAAACAGTCTCAAGTGCCCTGACTCCTAATTCAGACTGCAAGAGCTGCCTCTGAGGGTGCTGCTTCCCAAGGGGTCATCCACATGGACATCCCACAGCCCTGCTGGCTCTGGCTGAGCCACCCGAGCACATCACTGGGTGTTCATCACCCCACAAATACTCAGTGCTGACACTGCCCAGGAGCCAGACCAGCAGTGCCAGTAGCCTCCATCGCTCCACATACCCTGGGCTACTTGCTGTATCCACTGATCAGAGGTACCCTGACCCCCACGGCTCATTTTGGGACTGTTTGTTCCCTCCTGGACTGCAGTGACATGCACAGCCCTGTAGCAAGCCCTGGGGGGCATGGGCAGTGTGGGCATGGGGACCTTGTGTGGGTCCAGTGAGGAGGGCACTGGGTGATCCTAACACCTGACTGGGGCTGAGCAGGAGGGACCAAAGGTGGGAAAACCCCACGTAAAGAATGAGGACATATTACCTGAGGACCAACTGAGTAAATGAAAGCTCCTGCTCCCACCTGTACTCAGGTGTTACACCAAATAATCCCCAGAAGTGTATTGCATACAGCAAAATCCCAGGCAAGGTTTGCTTTGTCCCCTCTCCCTGCTGATGTGCTGCTCCGACTGTGACAACTATCCATCCCTTTGCACCCCAGTGCAGGACCAGCACCCAGCCTTGGGACAGAAACACACCTGGGCACATCTGCAGGGTCCCTGTCACAGCATCAGCCCCGTGCTGGTGGCAGCACCCGGCACCCTGGCACCGGGAGGAAGGTGCAGGGGCTGAATTCGCTATCCCAGGCAGGATATCCCCTGCAACACCGATGCGGGGAAATATTATAAACATCTACAGCAACGTAGACAAAACAGTCTCTTGTAACCTTTTAGCGCTGCCGAGAGCTTTGCCTGTAAGAGCTCTTGAGCCCCTGCCAAAAATTCTGGCTGTTTTCATAAGAGTAGGTGTTTTCGTCTAAGGTGCAGTCTGAGTGCTGTGACCTTTGTCATGTCTGCTACTGAAATTTCCTGCTTCTCTGTTATTCTCTTCTTTGGTAAGACGATATGAAACCCAAAACTTTTATTGCCCCTTTTAAAGCGTCTTTATAGCTCCCCGTCTATTTCATATACTGTCTTATTCTCCAGCGCTGGGATATTACTTATGGGATCCGGGCTTGATGCTGCAAAAGGCATTTGGGTTTCACGAAGCCCAAACCGCCCGGGTTTCTTTAAGATCAGCCGGGGAAGAAAAAGAAGACAGAAAAAAAGGAAAAAAGGAATGAGAGGGGAGGGACCGGGCTTTCCGCTCCGGAGGCATCGGCATCTGCTCCCAGAGCAGCGGCAGAGCAGCGCCCAGGGCGGCAGAGCCCACCAGCCTCCCCTGCTCTGCCAGGCTTCCCCAGGCACAAAATGCCATTTGCTTTGTGTCTGGGTCAGCATGGGGTGCCCACTGACCCCCTGAGGATGGCATTGCATGGCATCTCTTCCCATGCCTCCATCCCCTGCCAGCTCTGCCCCCGAGCTGGCGGCTCAGATGTGGCCGGACACCGCAGCCGGTCCCAAATCCGGTGTGCAGCGGCTGGGGCACATCTGTCCTGGAGCTGGCAGGGGGGAGGCCTGTCCTGCTCGGGGGGCTCTCAGGAACCCCATTTCCCAACCCAGTTCCAGCAGCAGGACAGACCACATGAAGGACGTGTGTCCCCAGGCGAGGGTTGATGCAAAGCCACAACAGCTGGGTGCTGGTGCCGAGGCTCCTGCTGCCATCCCACCCCTCGGGCTGTGGGGCATCACCTCCACTGTGCAGGGAGCAGGGTGGCAGTGATCCTCTGGGCTCTCACTCACCTCTGCACTCTCCCAGCTCTCCCACTGCAGGAGGAGCAGGGACCCAGCGTGCCAGAGGGGAGAGGGCTGGTGGGATTGTCCCCTCCAGGGGACAAAAGTTCCCCCACGCTTGCCTACGGCAGGGCTGGCTGAGAGGGGAATTAGGACCTACTCGTGCTGGAGGGGAGGCTTCCAGAGATGTCTAGTAGGGCTCAGTGCCAGCTAATCTTCCAGGCAAACTTGATCCAGATCCCTTTGGCTGCAGAAAGTGAAAAACTAGCCAGACCCAAACATTAAAGCCTGGTTTCTGCTGCCAGCTGCATGGGGCACTCCAGAAAATGCCTTATCACCATGTGATTTTGAAAGACGGCTTCAGGGGTTTTTTCCACATGCTGGTTTTCCCTCCTCACCCTCACACTGCTGTTCCTCCATGCATGTTCAAGTTGTGAGCCTGGCCAGGTTAACTCAGACTGTGGAGTTATGATTTTCCCTTTAATCACTTTGATGCCTGCAGGCCATGGTGGTGCTATCCCATCAGAAAGTGCTGTTGCTCCATCCTGAGACACATGGAGCTCATCAGGAGCAGTGATGGACAACCCAAGGAGATGCATCCACCAGGAATATCAGAGAAGTCCTTCCTCCTCCCTGGAATTCCCAAAGAAACCAAAGATTCCCCTGAAAATTCAAGAGTGGTGGTAGGGGCAGGAGCTCTTTGGGGAGTCCCAGGGAGGGGCCTTGCCCTGAGATCCTCCTTCACCGTCTGGTTCTGATGTGCAGGAGATGTCTGTGTCCTGTGACAGGGATAAAATAGGTCTCCAGGAGAAAAGGGGAGTCTCCACCAATGTCCCACACAGACCTGGGGCTCCACAACCCTGGGACATGGTGCAGATGCACTATGAGAAACCAGCCTTGTCCATCAGCCTGGAGTAAAGGGGAGATGGAGCAACTCAAGCACGTATTTGGGACCACTTGGTATCTCTCAGCTCCTTTCCAGCTATCCCAGCCCCAATAAACACCCTTTTTGGGTGTACAAAGAAGATCTTCTGCTCTTCTGAAGAGTCAGGAGGCTCATGGGAAGTACAGGGTGGGATTTTCCATGGCTGGTGCTTCTCTGAAGCAGCACAGGGTGGAGTTAGGGCAGCACAACTACAGGAGTCAGTAAAGTGGTACCTCCTGTGTGGGTGCAGAGCAGCCTAACCCAGCACTAACGAGAGAAAAACACACTGATGCATCAGGGTTTTGCTTAAAATGCCATTCAGTGGTCCAGCAGGTTTCTCTTTCCTCTCAGCAAGATTTCCAACCAGGCTTTCCAGCCCAGCTGGCGCGGGCAGGGCAGCCCGTTCCTGGCGCTGCTCGGCAGCACTGGGGTATTTTTGGGGCACGGAGGAGCTCAGCTGCAGCACCACAGACAAGCTGAACCCCTTGACTCCCAGAGGGGTCAAGCAGGGAGCCCCTCACACCCTCGCAGGTGTCCACTCCCCCCGGCAGCACCGGACACGGACGCGGCCGTGGCCTCGGCCCAAGCGACCAAACGCCAGCGCCGAGTCCCCGGTGCAGGGAAGGGCAGATGCGGAGCAGCCGGGATCGCTCGGCTCTTGCTGGGATGCTTTCACAGCTGCAAAAACCCCGCTCCAGGTCCAGGTTCGGTGTCTCCAGCCTCCCCACTCCTCCGGCGGAGCGGTCCCAGGGAGCGGCGGTCCAAGGATTTCGGTTTAGGCCAATCTCCCAGAAATTCTGTCATCATGCAGTGCATCACGCACACTCCCGGATCCGCATTACACAGAGGATGGCTCCGCTCCAGCACCTCTTAAAGTCAGTGGAAAAACCC